GGAGAACGTGAAGTGGCCAATTCCCATTGAGTATAGAGGAGAAGCTGCTGTTAGACAGATTACATACTGCCAGCTGTATTCCCCAATATCGATCTGATGGCTCACTAGCGCGGATACGGAGCCCTTTTTGTTGCGATCGCTGCTCGAACCCCTCCCCTTTCTGTCTCTATGGAATGCAACTCCGTATTCTAGACTGCTAGCTGCATCTGCTAACGGCCTTTCTAGCCCTGTGAATATCCGGGAGCATGCAGTCAGCCTCAGCACCAGGACTTTCCACGACAGGCAATACTACTCCGAGTTTCCATTCTGGTGCTTTGCGGATACTCCGGCGCGGAGGTCCGAGAGCCAAGTCCCACTCTTCACCCGGGCCGTTCGCCCCATTAAGCGGATCAAATCTGTCTCGCAAGATCTTTGCTGAGCATATCATATCAGTTGCCGTTGATTGCTATGCCCTGGCGCTGATTCCCGTAAGATGATATGGGGATAGTGCCGTGCCTTTGGACTCAATATTATGGGTCACATTCCTATCGTTGCAAGCATGGACCGAACAATGGTGATTTGATACTCGTCATTTGGGCTAACAGCCCATTGACGCCTGCAGACAAAAGAGGGATAACGCTGTCACCCAGCTCGACGCTTGTGAGTGTACTTGCCCCTACCAGGCGAAGCTGCGAAGCACGTTCAAATGCCTCATCTGTTGGCTTTGCGAATCGTACGCTGGAGGCTTTCGAGGAATGCATCTCCTCATTCTAATAACACACTGACTCCCATCATCTCATGAATCTCATTTCCCGCGTCATCACATCTTTAAGCAGCATAGGCAACGCCGCCATGGTGCGTATCACGCTCGCGATTTTATTTCCGCTGTAGGCAAGAAAATGGTTGTACTATTTCGAAGTAACACAGCAGTCAGAAACAACCAGTACCGCAATCACCCGTCATGATTGTAGGTGGTTTGAGATTTGCATGTTGGCTGATAGTGTGAATTAGGGGACAGGCCAGAGGGCCTCTGCGAAGCACTACTGCCAGCGGTGGGCGCATATTTCCGCGGTAGACTCTCTTATCTTCGTGCCACATAAATGCGACGCAGCAGCTCAGTCGAAGGAATGTTTCCTCATCTCCGTGCACAGAGGCGCGGAGCACGACCGGGGAATGCACAACTCAGCACCGAAACCCCGGTTGCAGGGAGCAGGTTATGAGCGATGGCCCCGCAGGCTGAGAGCCGAAATCAAGAAATCCTATAAGAATAGGCACACGGGCGTATTATTACGCACACCGTGGTTGTACTAGTGAGTTATCCAGCCCAAGTATACCAGCCTTTGGCTGATCTCTACTACGTCCACTGCTTCTACTGTTGCTTCGCACTTACAGCTATTCTTGCTTTCCTACCTATACAGTACAAATATTTCACAGATCCATATTTGTATCTGTACCTATTCGTGTGTATAATCTCATTTGACAGCTCCTATTTTTTCTTTGTTTCCCCCTACCCCACAATTCGAAACAGGGCAGGTATCCAAGCCAACAACAGAATTCTCTATTTATGACGAGATTGGACTAATTGAGATTTTCAACAAAGTAGATAGCGCCGGCCACTACATCGTTACTACCCCGTGGCTAGGCACGCAAGCGCTATTACAACAATGCAGGGGCCGTGGGGTGAGCTGAGCGAGATGCGAGCCGAAAGCCACGCTGATATGCCTATTCGCTTGCAAGGCAAGGGTAAGCCAGCTTCTACAGCCTAGGATGCTACTGATATGTCGGCTGTGCCGGCAAGTTTGCTGGTTTTCCAAGTCATAGCTGACACAGTTGCAGATTTCCCGGTTTAGAAGAAAAGCACAGTTGTTGTGTCTTGATTGCTTGCTCGCCAAAATGCCGAGAACGAAATAATACCGCTTCTTGGGCACCGAGACCGCCTTGGGCAGTCGTCAAATTGTCACTTCTCTCTGTTCGCATCTAATGAATAATTGAGGGCTTTTTTCGCCAACCTACGACATTTGTTGGCTTGTGATGCTGCAGCAACTCAGGCGAATGCTTGATTTGCAGTTCTCACTTGCTCCACTAGAGCTACAGCCTTGCGATTGTGGCCTGTTTTCCGCGTGTACCAGGCAAGTCTGCATGACAACGACAGCAGAGCAGTCTGTGTTGGAAGAAATGACAAATATGTGCAGTTGTTGATCATCCACTGCCTTCGAGCCGTCTCCGCCTCCGCAAACCCATACCCCCCACGTCAACATGGCGATTCGGAACCAGCATGAGACAACCGAAAACGATAAAAATAAGTCACGATGTAGAAAGGTTGAATGATCAGAATGATTTTTTCCCTCTTTTTTTATATTTAAAATGGCTTCTATCTATAGCTACCACCAATCCCCGCATGAAATGTCCCAGCCCACTTGGAAGATGCGACGAGGAGATTGCTTCTAACCCATCTGCTAGGGTCTGATTTTCATATAGATTCCTAGACAGGAAGCAATGCTATATACAATTACATATGCCCAGCAGTTGCAATGGCGTCTATAGCAAAGACACGTGGTGGCGCAAAAATGGGATTCTTAAATGCCCTCTCACTTGTCGTTCCAGAAATTCCCCGAGCTTGGAAGAGCACGGGTCATATGTAGCCATTGCGATTGCATGTATGCGCTGGCATGTTTGTGGGAGGGCAGGCGTTCAAGATTCCACACTTCCGAGCGCAAAAACTTGATGCAAGCAGCTCGGACACAGCTCGACGATGCCTTCTTTTCTCTTCTCTTTGGCATTACAGGGGCCAGCATCGCAGCGATGGAGCGAACAACCGACAGAGCAGTCTCCATTTTGCTGCAGCATGTTGGACACACCCCTCGCAATGCTGTCCTGATAGCATCAAACACTGCCCCTCCATTCCAGCTTCAGGATGGTGGCCGTTCTGACAGGGGGTGGCACCCCTCTCTAACTGCTTAACAGCAGACTAATGTGAGGCCAACCCTCATCTGGCCATACCCCGGCCGCAAGTCTAGGTTCGCCTCACATCGTCAGTCGGACACGAATAGTCTCCCGCTGCTCTCTGGCTGGCTATAAGCAACGGGGCGGCACGTCAGGTAGTCCCACGTACCAGTTGCGGTAACATGAAGTTGTCACATTTTCGGGATATCCCAAGCGAAAACTTCGCTTATTAGCCTCCTCTTTTAGTCAAGTCCCGCAGCTGTATGCATACGGAGACCTAACAGGCTGGCGGTTAGATGTCAAGCGCACAATATGCAGAATGCGACGAGTAGAAGCCAACTCTGGCTGCAGAGCTTATCATTGCTCTCTCCTCGCTTTCCGCGCCGGCGAAATGGGATGCAAACTGCCCAAAGCTTGACTCAAGATGCGGAACTGGGTCTTGTGAATGCTCTTCCTCCCTTATTGGTACCCTTTTTTTTTTTTTGATGCTCCGCCTCCTCTCTGTTGCCTTCTTCTGTTCAAGACCACATAACAGTGAATCAGAGCAGCATCATCATACTATAAAGCCGCATCTCCCTGCCCGCGGCTTAGCATCAAATCTCGCACATACTCTTGAGTAAACACTTGAACTCAGAGCAGACAGCATCTGCGGCAAAGAAATACCGCCTTATATTCTATTGTTGCCCTTCAATCATCAAGTTTGATCACATTGTGCGCGCGCATAAGCATGTCTTCACAGCATCAGACTCCTAGTCATGGCGATGTAATAGACATTGGCGGAAGCCGACTGCATGAGGACGTCGGAGAGAGACTTTCCAGAGTCCTTACGGCCGTCTATGGCCCCAGTGCGAAGCCGACTCTTCCAGATGAGCTCTTGTATACCGATGTTGGATTGCCAATTTGGAATGAAATCATCTTCACGCCCGAGTTCTATCAAACTCATGATGAGATTGCGCTCTTTGACGCTCACGGAAGCGACATCATCAAGCGACTTCAACCTGGCGTGACCATGATTGATCTTGGAGTCGGGTAAGTTTGAGCAAGATAAACGTCTGAACCAATCGAGCAAGTCATCTGACAGCTATAACTCAGAGACACCCGCAAGGTGGAACACTTGCTCTCATCTTTTGAGGAGGCGCAGCTTGAAGCTACGTATCTGGCTCTCGATATCTCCAAAACGTCGTTGGAGCACAGCGTGGGTTACCTCCTTGACAAACATTCCGCAGCGGATGCCAAGGTAACTTGCGCAGGGCTGTGGGGAACATTCCAAGATGGCATGTCCTATGTGAAAGGCATTCAAGGCCAGAGACTCTTCCTTTCTCTGGGCTCTGTCCTTTGCAACGACCCTTGGGCGGAGGCATTGAACCATCTCCGGTACTGGGCCGAGGCTCTCCGGCCAGGAGACCTCCTCTTGGTAGGCATGGATGCCCACCTACTGCCCAAGGATGAGGATAAGATTTGGAAAGCCTATCACTCTCGGGATGACCTGTATCGCCAATTCTTCCTGAATGGCTTTAACCAGGTAAATAAAGCAATTGGTGAAGAGTGGTTCCAGGAAGAAGATTGGGAGTTTATGGCGCAGCTCGAAGAGCAGCCAACGACTCGCCATCGCTTCTTCTTTCGAGCTAAAAAGGATGTCACCATCCATAAGCTCAACCGGACACTCAAAGCGGGTGAGGAGCTGGACTGGTTTGACTCTCACAAGTATGGAGAGGAGAGCGTTCGACTCATGTGCCATAAGGCGGGACTGAGTGTGATCAATGTCATGCAAGCACCCGGCTCTGAGTTTAGTAAGTACCTATCCTCTGTAATCTCCCTCAGCTGCTGGACACTCTAACCCCATCGTTCTGCAGGGCAATATCTACTCAAAGCCAAAGAGGAGCAGGATCAGAGAGAGGATGGAGATAGTGCCATATCCGGGTTGGTATAACCAAATGATAGCCCGCTGTCCTATTCCCTTGCTTAGACTCTTAGGCGGCAGATGGAAAAGTAATGGTTTCTTGAGGTGCATTGGAGACTGAAGTGGGTGCCAATTTTTCATAGACCAGTTTTGGGAATAATAAAGTAGATCTTGAGCCTCAAGTTAGGCATAGAATCTCTTGTTCCTTCTCCTGCACGCGTTGAATTAGATGCTCCCACCATGGATATCTGTTGGCGATGTCGTCATCAAGGGATTCGAGATCAACGACAATGCTCGGCTCGTCGTCGATCCACGTCCAAATGCGTTTTAACGTTTCATATAGTGGAGGCACGCTCTGTAAGATGCAATTGTTAGTACATATTTGTAGAAGCTTGCGTGCTATATGCGTGTGAGAGATGGAATCCTTACGCTTCTCACTGGCGCGCTGGTGACGCTGTCAAACCACTTTTGCGCAACGCCGGCATGTTCAGCGACAGTGGCGAGCATGCCCAGGAGAAAGACTGGGAATAGAGGAGCCTGGGCGGTGAATTGGTAGCCAGAGGTTGGCATGATGCTGATGCATTTAGCGAGATAACTCAGATTTGCAATTACGTCTGGATGGTCTCGAGGTAGCCTATGTAAGCAGTATCGTTAGAACTGCGAATCACCATACTCTGCTTTTTTTTCTTTCTCTCTTTCTTTGAAACGGATCATTTTGCTTACCTTAGAGCGCGACATTGTAAGTAAATAACGGCTGTAATTCTCCAGGCTTCTGCGGTGACCTCGGTCATCTCAGTGGTATTGCCGACCATGTACCCTTCCGGAGCGGCGCGAACCCATTCAATCGCCTGAGATTGGACCTGGGCGACCTCGAAAGGATTGGATAGAGGCGTGTTGCTCCACTGCCTCATATCCAATAACTCTGAGAGTATATATCGAATAGTAATGGGAACAACGGGGGATTCAGGGCACTGATTCAGCCGCGCAGAGCAGAATGTAATCTGGCTCATGCAGTGGAGCAGTTTCTTAGAGAAGCCACAGCCGCCATGGATCTCATACATGTCTCGATTGTTGCCGTAAAGAAGCCAGCCAAAGCGATTGGCTTCTTTCACGGGGTCAAAGGTATTTGGCGAGGCAAGAGGTGTCATGAGCTGTGAGAGTATGAGGGCTCTGCCAACGATGACGGATTGGGAATTGCGGAGAGAAGAGAGTTGGATGTTGTCTTTGGACCAGAATCGGGAGCCTTCGTCAATGGATTCAAGAAAGTGCTCGCATAGCTCGGTTCCTTTTAGCCATCTGGGGACTTCTGGCCACTTGCAACGGCGTTCAGTAAGGACAATCTGAAAATATAAACGGGTTTGTTAGAAACACACGCTCAAATGCAGACAGGCGCTCTGCGGAATATCAATTGATATAGGACAGGAGATGACTTACATCATGCATCGACATAATACATAAAATGGTAATCAGCTCACTTGCTTCGTCGACACTGAGGTCTGTGCTTTCGAGAAGCTGGCTCAAGCGAGCCTCAGCCTGGCGATAGCGAAGATTGATCCGCTTAGCTACTTTCTCCAACGGTTGATAATCGTACACATATACGCCGGCCAGACTCTGGATCGCGCTTCGCACGCCCTCGCTTCCCTCCATGCAAGCAAAATCTGTGAGCCATAGGTTGGTCTGCTTCAAAATACTCCGGCCAGGACACCAGTTCTTTACATCTGCAATTGCTCAACGTTAGGAAGCGTGGTGAGGTGGGTAGATGCAGAACGATGGAATGGAAAGAAGAGGGAAGAGTAGGAGTTGATGGAATAAGGAAAACAAAACGTACAAAAGTAAAAGAAGCGCCTATCCATATCATCCATCTGAGAAACGAACCCGAAATGCGACGGGAGCTTAGGGACAGTATATTCCGTCATTTGACGCAATATCTGGAGATTTCGTTGATCCCACGAGCGGGCATAAGAACTCGGGTTGGAAGGGCTCAAGTTTACAGAGTACGACGCGCTGCTGCTTGGAAGTGAAGGCGACCGACTGTATCTCCCCAGCTGTTCCGAATAGAACTGCTCCGACGTGCTTTCGGGAGATGCTTGATTGTAGAGTAGTTTTGTAGCAATCAAGGTTGAGGACGACTGACTCAATTGCCTGACATGTTTGTTTTGATCGTCATCTTCGCCGTACTGCGTGGCAGCAGATTTAGAAGATGGTCGACTGTACAGCTCATCATGCTTGGGCCAATTGAATTTGATATACGAATTGACCGTGCCGTCTGTGGGACGATTGAACCGCAGTGACGATAGCTTTCCGAAAGTATCCAAGCAGTCCTTGAATGGGCTGACAAATCCATGCCGCGGCTTACGACTGCTGTGCTGCTCGCCTTCAGTTGACGATGGCGAGGCTTGCTCGGCAGCCGGGGAAGCAAATTCTTCAGCCAAAGCTTCCGCCAAATCTCCCAGCAAGTGGGATTGTAACTCAGGGAAATCGGCATGGCTTAGTGAATCCTCATAGTAAGATGGGGAAAGGGTGGATTCTGTGAGCGGCGATGCTAAAGTCATTGTTAGTACTACCATTGCGACTTGTTTTGGCATTTTTGGCGGTTGTCTCCCTGCTTGGAGCTCAGAGGGGGTGGGGGAAGAGGAAAAAGTTGTTCGGGGAGTTGAGAGAACAAAGGAAGCAATAGTCGTACGACTGAGAGGGGTTGAGTAACTAGAGACTATAGACAGGCTGCTGTTTTCTGTTTTAATGTGAAAACAAGGATCATTCAGTTCTCTCAAGTGAAAGGCCACGTGAGATAGTAGCGCTCAACCTCAATGACGGGGTGGGAAAACAAATGGAGGGGTGTGGTGTGCGACGCAGGATGAGTGGTGCATATGCCGGAGAAAAGATATAAGACAGAGTGCAATGAGACAAACAAAAGGATAGGAGCAGGGAGTAAGCCGAATTGGAAAGTGTCTATTTCTCCGAATAGACGGGCATGTATGCATGTATGCAGGCGGATAGTTTTCGGCAACCTTCCATTGGCTTGCTGTTGACTTACATGCATTGATATCTTGAGACATGACTACTGTCGCCATCGGTATTGTCGCTTCCAGCTCCATCGGTTCATAGGTTGCCTCAGACAATGCCTCAGAAACCATGTCAAAAGACAGCTCTGAAGATGCCTCAGAAGACGCCTCGGGCGAGTATTCAGGAGACATTTTAGTCGAAGTTTGGGTCGACATTTGCGAAGATACAGATTCAGATGGGGCCGGAGAAGAGGCTGTCTCTAGTTCTGCATCACCCACAGGCTCAGCTTCTTCTGTCTGGGGCGTGCCAGATTCGGAAGTAGATGCATATCCACGGGCACGTTTACGGCGGCCACCACGGCCACCACGGCCACCACCACGGCCGCGCCCATGTCGAAGCTCACGTTCAGGTTCAGTTTCAGGCCCAACTTCAGGCTCGGGCTCGGGCTCACGCACACGTGCACGCTTCGGTCGGGTAGTCGATACAACGTTTACCCATGAAAGAGGCACGTTAACCATGCTTCTAGGAGGAGCCACAACGCTGGGAAACGGCACGGGCTTGATGAACCGCAGCTGAGGGCCAGGCTGAGGAGCAGCAGGCTGCGGGTGTGGCGCCAGCTTGAGGCGCTTGGCTGGGCGCTCCTGGCTCTGAGAATCACTCATTGGTACCGAGTCAGGCACTTGGACAGCACTCAATGACAATGTTGACAGTGAGTGACGTGAATACGCACACACAGCAGGCCAGGGGAGAGCTGTTGTGGGTGCCACAGAGCTTAGACGAGCCTTCTGCTGGTGGGACCTGACAGGCGTGGACCATGTACAGTCAAGTACAATCTAATGCAACGGCGGGAAGAAGGAAAACGCAGCACGACGATGCTCAGAGTGTTGGTCTTTTGCTGCAGCTTCTGCCGGATCAGACCAAGTGTGAAGCAAGCTGCAGCAGGCAATTGTAGCAACAAGCTGTTGAGTCGGAAAACCAGCCTCAAGCTGAGCCCGACTCGCTCTGTAACTGCAATTCGCTTTCCAAAAAAAAAAAAAAAAGAAGAGATTGTGTATGTGTAAACGTGTGTATTGTGTGTAGGGATGTGGCGGGGGGGCGAAATGTGGAAAGGGGGGGGGTCCCTTGAGTACAAGTCCCCAAAGCTCAGACCTTCAATTGCAATGGACCAACTGAAGAACCGAAAACTCGGGTCAGTGAAGCGTGAGAGAAGATCCGAAGACCACACAGGGCACGTTTGACAAAATAGCCGGTGGTCAAGATGGTGGAGCGTGTTGGTGCTGTTTTTGGACCACCGGAGCCAGTTCCGAGCTGCGGCCGCAACTTTGAGCTGCACCAACGCTGAAGCTGCCCGCAAGTTAGTACCAACTAGGTAACAGCGGTTGGTTGGAGGCATGCACTACCTGGCAATATCTATAGTGACTAGGTAAAGTAGAGTAGCAGTATAGAGCAACTGAGGGGACTTTTAATTGGTATGCTAGCTGGCTCAATTCAGGTTCAGGCGCACGCAGACTTGGAAAAGCAGTTGATACTAAAACAGGACTGATCAGACACACAACATGACGCTCGCAACAACATTGGAAAATAAGACTAAAAAAAATAAGAAAATAATAAATAAAAAATTCATGCTTCTGCTGCTAGTCTTCCAACATGAAAGAGCATCAGCAGCGCGGAGAATTTGGATGGAGGGTGGTAAGGCCGGTACATACTGTACTTGATTCGCCTCTTGGGGGGTGGTGGTAGGGGTTTAGACGAGAAAAGAGAAAACACGGAATATTGAATGCGGGAGGGAACAGGGAAATCTGCAGCGGCACAGGCCAACGTGGGCTCTCGGCCCCGACCCATCCGGCGGTGATCTAGGCTGATCTGACCACAAGCCAGGAGAGGTAACAGAGACGACACGATGGAGACAGGCGGAAGAGAAGAGGGAAAAGATGAGAGGGACGAGAGAGAAAGAGGAGAAAAGAGAAAACAGGGAGCCGGGGTGTCGGCGAATAACTCTTGTCCCTCTCTCTCCTCTCTTTGTGAGAGGACAACGAATGAAGAGGCCCACGCATCAGACCAGAATGGCTTCGTTTTCCGGCAATTGAGTGACAGAATAGGAACTGGCTTCTCTCACTCACATGTACCCGCGAGTCTCCGCTTGTGAGAATTCCCGCGGTCAATGGCCCGTATGTGCCCGAGGATCGGATGCTAGGCAGAGACGAGTAATCTGGAAAAACGCGATGCTTACAAGAATGATGTATACTCGTACGAGCAAGCGATGTGATATACGATTTCGAGTCGGACCAAAGGCCAAGTCCAGGGCGCGCGCGAGCTGGTCCCCACTGATTCTTATGTACTGAGGATTTACGAGCACAGGAGCTGGACGGGGGAGAAGGAAGAGCGAGAGAGCCAGAATGCCTTCTCATCTTATTCCACTTATTTTGCGTTGATTCCTACCGTTCTTTGACTACGATTTAGAGCAAATGCAGAGCGTCACGAAAAGAGGGTGGGAGGCATGGGTCCTTGAAGCTATAATTTCCCTCGAGGTACTGTACAATGAGAATTCCGGCTCCCTGGAGTCTTCAGAAGCTCACGATCGCGGCGTGTGACCAGGATGCTCACGATCGGGGCCAGGGTCCTGGTCACACCGAGTGGAGAAGCTGGCATCGAGAGCTCTCTTGAGCATAGCACCCAGCACACCCTTGTCTCTTCAGGCCTCCCCACGGCCCATCCAGGCGATCGTCGAGAGGGCCAATCCGCTCAGCCTCTGCGGCCATAGAGGCGCGGCTCGCACAACCGGTGTGCAGGGGTGGTTTAACCCTTGCTGCTGTTAGTGCCGCCAAGGCCGCATTAGCTCTATCCCGGCCTTCTTGTTGTCTCTTCTCTCTGCCGTCCTTGTCGCCTCGCCTCGATGCGGCCAATGAACGGTTCGGGGCCCTACGACGAGAGTGTGGGAGCCCTTTGCTGGCATCCTGATTTGCTTCTCCCCAGGCTCAAAAGGGGCAGTCATGCCGTCTGGAAACGTCGTTAAACTCGCTCCTATCACGGCCACTTTTGGGCGCTGGGCTTCCTACCCAGGCCTGCTTCCACTTGTCCTGATCGTCGTCGCTTCTTTGATTCTCCTATCTTCTATATCTCGAGACATTAGCCGTCTAAAACCTGCTTGGGTCCACGTCCGTGGTTCTCGCTCTTCCTTCTTTCTACCATCCACCCCCTCCTTCTCACTCAGTTCAGCTCTCGCTCGTCCTCTCCTCTTCCTCTCTCCCTCGCATTCGGTGCGGAGTCAGGTGGGTGGCACAAACCAGACCATTGGCTTCACGATCCTTTGGCTCTCAGGCGTAGGGTGGCCATCACACGCCAATCACAGGCATATCAGCAGCTTTGGGTATAGGACAAAGTGGCCACTAGTCTTTCAGTCGAGTCACCACCCTCCCTGGTCTTTTCGTTCTGGAGCCCACCACCAAAGAGGCAAACATGGGAAATCTCCTCGTTCCGTGATTATTCATCTTCCTGCTGCAACACTGCAAGAACCCTCGCCTGGGAGCGGGACTTTGTGAGGCGTTCAGATAGAGAGCACGCACGATACTAGCCCCTTTGCCCGTCTAAACCCACGCAAACTTAATCGCAACATTCTAGGCCCTTGGGTTGCCCAAACAGCTAGCCGTTGCGGCACAGGGTTTCCATCCATAGCAAGGGCAACTGTCTTATGTTGCTGGTCCTTGCCTGTGACCCACCAGGCCAGCCACGAGCTGCACTACCCAGCTGTCTCTTTTTTTATTTGAATCCCGGTTTCGTGAATTGCGGCCCGGAGTGCGTATAGAGGTACTGCTGTACTGTCTTCGTAACTCTGCCAGTTGGCTGCGGATTGGAGAGCGGGGCGATTCGAAGAGCAAGCCATCGTCTCAATCTATCGTCAATACTGAGGTTGGCATCGATCTGAGCAGAAGTTTCACTCCAGCCTCATGGCTAGATAGGGGAAGCTCCCCCCTTTAGGAAAAAAGAAATCTCGCAGCGCTAGATTTATTATCTACTCTATTGCTCCGTACACAGAGGCCGGAGTTTCTGAGGCTCAAGGCCGCAGTTCACGATACCCAACGTTGGCAGTAATAGAATCAACGCACACCATGCAGCCGCTTGAGGCCACGCATCTCTTCACGTTTGGACTTCCTTCGTCGCCTGTTTCTCTCTCTTTGGAAAGCTTGGTCCTCCAATACCTTGAGCAAGCTTCTCAGAGTGTAGAGCAAGCGGAGATACTGTCTCCCTTGTCGTCTAAGCCAACATGCTCATCCTCGCCTGATGATGCCGCTGCCTTGTTGACGGAAATGGGCGACTATTTGACCCGGACTGCCATGATATGGGCCTACCTAATTGAATATCTTATCAAAGGGTCTCATATCGACCATGTCACTCTACAAATTCTCGAAAACTCTCGAGCCAAGACAAATGTTGCAGATCTGTCAGAGGCCGCTTCGCTGGACATGACTCTTGGCCGCCTCCGGTACGTCTCTTATTATGGTGTTTTCTCCTTCATAGGCATACAAGTGTTGATACAGACTAACAATGCCATGATTCTAATATTATAGCAAGATGCGTGATTTGGCGTCGCAGCACTCTAAAGATATTCAAACCATATGGAAGCTTGGAAGCCACCGGAAGGCCAGTCTATCATGTCTGGTTGACCCCCAACCGCCTTCATCGTTACACAGCAAAGCCCCGTCCGCAGTTTCATCGGCAACCCCATCAGAGTCTTACTCAATGCCAGAAGGGTTTAAGAGTACATCGCATACAGCCGAACGTCATAAGCAGATTGCCGACGCGGTAGCTTTGCTGAAAGATGGACCAACAACAGTTGGAAGACCAGCACATGCCCCATTGCCCTCGCTGCCGCTCTTACCACCAGGCTCATCACTCGATTTGCCGCCGATACGACCTCCACAGCCATCGGTATCTACTCCACTCACATCATCGCCGCCGCAGCAACAGGTGCAACGACAAGAACAACTGCAGCGACAAGAACAGCTTCAGCGACTAGAACAACTGCAACGACAAGAGCAACTAAAACAACAAGAGCAAGAGAAGCAGCAGAAGCAGAAGCAGAAGCAGAAATCGCAGCAGCCACAGCAGCAGCAAAAGGTGCAAAAGGTGCAGCAACAGAGAGTGCAACAACAGAAGCAAAAGCAAGCAATAATGGCATCAACCCGCATATTCCTTGCAAAAGAAGGACCAGGTTCAGGAGCACGGGCAAGGTCGATACTCAGAAAGCTAGTACCCTTGATGCCAGCTCCGAGAAGACCACTGGTTAAGAAGGCAATGCCGAAAAAGTCTGGCCCAAGGCCTGTGAGGATATTAACGCCAATAGTGGCTCCAGCTCCTCCTCCTCCGCCGCCACCACCTCCACCAGTCCTGACTCCTCCTCCCCCTCAATGCCGGCCTCCTCCTCGCTCAGCAGAAGAGATAGCGATGGCTGCATCAGCCTCGGCAGCATTGGAAAACATCATTGAGGAAGCGGCGGATGAAGAAGACTCGGATGACTATTCTGACGACGGCTTGTTTGCGGGCATCAACTTGAAGGCTCTGAAGCAGCGTGGCAAGGGGAAATATTATTGTCCTAGAGGCCATCGCTGCGACAAAGGCGGCGTTGATAAGAATGGAAATCTGATACTTTTCGACCGTAACTCATCTTTTGCGTATGTAACAACCTATCTCACCCAGCTTTGTGGCAAGCCTCACTATCTGTCCCCTGTCTTCCTCTTTCATTCCCATCTTCAACGGGCGCAAAATGCCCCGGCTAGCAGGTTTGCTAATACTATATTCATGCAGGCAACATTGCAACAAACATCGCAAGCCTTGGCGGTGCGATGTGCCTGGATGCCCGAATCCTCCCAAGAAGCGCCGCTTTGCGCGCCGTGACGGACTGGAGAGGCACAAAGCCACTGTCAAGCATTACTTTATGGCGTAAGTACATGATATGCCTACCTGGTTGTTTGCTGAGACTAATCAAAAGTCCTTGTAGGCAGGCATGAACGCAAACAGACCACAGACTTGCACAAAACTCTCATCGTCTCGATAGACAGATAAGAGGGGCTAGCTATACCGATCGCCAGAAATAGGAAGAGACGGAAATCGAAACGGTCCACATGTGACGGGCAGAGTCAGCCCGCAGCTCTCCTCGTACGAGCAGCACAAGCATGAAAGATACAGGGGCCAACCCGGCGTCATGGCACATGTAGTCTCTGCCTCAGCAGCTGCAACAAGCACGACGCCTTCCGAAGGATCAGATCACTCAAAGGCACGGCCAACAGCCTGAGGCCTGGCTCGAGTCGGTGAGGCTTCCCCGTCTCCACGTCAGCGGCTCTCCCCGAGTCCGCGCTCGTCTAGCCTCGACGCCGTCCATCTGGGTGGATCGAGCTATAGCCGCCGGTCTCTGCCACCCGCAGTCACGGTACCCATCTTGCCGTGGACGCTAATAATAGGGTTGGTTGCCAGTCAGTTGTTGACGGTAGTCTAAATTAGAGCATCACTCCTGGTTTGCTCGTCTTTCACACTATCGATATTTTGAGGCTGGTCTCTAGTTTTTTTCTTTGCTTTTGCTTACTATTGCTTTCATTTCTTTTTCCTTTTCCTGTTTTTTTTTTCAGCTCGGATTTCAGCTCGGAGTGGCGGTATTTTTCTTTTTCTTTTTTTTTTTTCCTTATTTAGCGCTGTTGTTCTTTGCTTGAATCGGGTTTAGCAATAGGATGGAAAAAGCACAACTTCTGGGTTATACGAGGATACACGATGGACTACAAAACAGGACTTTTGGGACTAACAACCAAAGGGATGCAAAATGATCGGAAAGGGAAAAGTAGCGGGCGTTTAATTTGCTCAAGGGGCAACTGCTCCGCATACAGTGTTTAAGCACCCTGGAGAGCTGAACTCTGGGATCTGCCATGCCTGTTCTTTAGCGATAGCCGTTCCGAAAAGAGCAGTAGATTTTTAGGTAGCATTATTACTGTTAGTACTAGCAATAGTAACAACCTCTTTGTCTTAGCTGTCTAGATCCTCTGCTGCTACGCCCTTGTTTCTCTCCCTTGCTTATTCCGTAGATGCAGGGTGAAAACCTGGTCGGGCTCACCCGGGTCCGAAGTTTGGGGGCGAAATTATACTGAGAATGTAGACCTGGCCAGGGTGATCGAAAAGAGTGTTTCGGATGCTACCTGAGGAGCTGCTACATTCATCGGGCTCCAATAGCATCTGGGATTACAATTGGTCTGGCCGTATTCCCGGAATCCTAGTTTCCAAAATTACTACATGCCGCATTCTGACGAAAAGCAAGATTTTCTTAGTGCTTCAACGCCGTTCGGAGAAGGCATCTGAAAAGGGAAATTGAGTGTAAGAGATTGAGTGTTGGGCAGCGTTCTCAACGCCATCTCATCCCAATGTATGCCTAATGTTTGCCATCCGAGCCTCGTTTATATCCAAATGGTCTCATGATTCTCGATCTAGAGGCCGGATATAGTAAAATCGTGTCGGCTGTTGCATGGGTGAACCCCCACATCTGTCTGTCGGGCAAAGATGCCGCGAAGTGCCAAGATTGCCGCGAGCATTCATGCATATTCGTTGCTGATATCAGATGCCTGCTTTTTTTTTTCCTCGGCATATTAGTTTCTATTATTGAGAGGAAATTAGAATGAGAAGCAAACTGCAAGGTCACGCGGCCCTCGCCACCGACTGCGCTGCATGCTGCACTCTGTACGCTGTGCATTGCACGTTGCATGAATGGTAGCATTTTGAGTATGGCAGCAGATCATTTTTCTTGACCGGTGAAGGACGCCAATTTGTTCAGCAAATGAGAGCGTGAAGCTAGCTGTCGTGTGCATATGGTGTAGGCGCAATGACAGCAAAGTCTGCGAGCCGGGTGGATCTGTATGCACCTGAGTGTGTCTGCATGCATAAGTGCCCAGGTACAGGTACGAGAGCCGCTCAAATGCTGCATCTCAGCACTTGTGCGTGCTGTTGACGAGCTCGTGAAGCAATGCACCGAGTTCAAGGCCTTAACAGCCGATTGCGTGGGGGGCACAGGTGGATGGATGAATCCTGGACTCGTGCAAAGAGTATCTTCCACACTGCAACGTGATCAATGTAATATGCACTTTTCTGATGTGCTGAAAGTACCTCCAATGCAGTTGAAAACACCACACAAAGCAGTTGGAGCGTCGAAAACCACATGGCGATACAAACAACAGGCCAAACATATCCAAAACCATAATGGCTAAGCTATTCTATCCTCTACATTCCGTCCAAGGGTTGGTTACCAGGACGACAGGCTACTGATTACTCTGAGACAATGACCTTTCTCTGCATCCTCTTTACTTTGCGTTGAAAAACAAGTAGCAAAGTTTCTTTGATTGGATACACGAAATATGCCCAAAGACATACGCGGTTATATGTGGAGGACGAGGCAGCCAAGATGCCTCTATTGCCTATGATTGACATACGGTTTGTGGAAACAATATACGTTGATTGTGGCCTGGCCTATTGTTGATAACAGTTGATAAGAAGGTTACCAACGATTACAATCAAAATGACCGCTCGTGTATACTAAATCTGGAGCAGCTTATGGTAACCCACTTCTTCTCTCGTCTTCCCTAGAGACTCGACAATTCAGAGAAGTATAGCTAACTAATGATTACTGAACTAGACTATACGAGAGCAACTTGTGACTGCCGAATAGCGATCGATACCAAATAATGGAATAGCCACGAATGAAGACAAACGCCAACCACAGGAAGAGGGGAAGCAGCATTCAATCATGTTTAGACTCTTGCTAAACGCCGAATTCGGTCGATATGTCTTCGGCATGTCGACAGTGACAACCTTTGTACAGCAGATTCTCACCCCAAATTCATGGTATGGCGCGCACGAGGCCTCAACTTCGACGGCTATGCAAGTAACATGTCATGTCCAGAGCACCGGGTCTCTACTATGTGGCAGATGGCGTCATGATGCAGGTCGAGGCTGTGGCACCGAAGCTGGTCGACCGAGTTCTCGTGAGAAAAAAATAACTCCTTTTATCAATACTAGGGTGCAGTGGAACTTCTCCTCTTCTCTCCTTCGGATAACAGGCTCCAATCAGAACAGAACAACACAGCGTCAGGGATACATATCTCAATGCTGTCATATTACAACACCTCTACATCTCTCTTAAGACGACATCGGTACCCAACTATATGTACTCATGGCTCGACAGACCACCATCTCGAAGCGTACTAGACCCACGGGCTCTGCCCGTATCGGCCATATTCAGAGCGAATGAATTTCGAAAGATACCGTGGCACGTGGCTCATGATCGGTGCGGGTCTAGAGTGCGTTGATGAGCACTAGGAAGAAAGGAATGAAACTCAAGAGGAGAAACTAGAACCTCATAGGTTGCCCCCATACCTCTGTTTCTTTTGTCTCTTTTGTTTTACCTCAATTCAGCACGGAAGCATTATCCTGTCTGGGATTGGAGACTACATGTAGCCTCAGCACACAGCCGTGTCACGACGCTTTGATTCACCGACTGCAAGACGACATGAGGTTTCTGCAATTGATATTGAGAAGCGGAGCCAAAACTGTGGCCAACGCTAGCAAACGGGCGCTCTATTACTCGCTTTGTTGGTTGAAGTTGGATACAACCAACACGTTGGCCACAGAGTAGCCAGTAGCAGCTGGAGAGGCTCATCACTCTCCTTCAGCGAGTTCCGGGGCTGGTCAGCTTAGACTGAGCCCCATGTCTTTTTGTTGCGAATAACGAGGCGCCCCAATGCACACTCACTTCTACACCGGTACCGCTAGCTTGCTGCTGCAGAACGCACAACCAACATACATATACTACATGCAAGGCAACACCCGCTGTCTATTGCCCGGCTACGCGTGCTCTCGGATACCAGTTTCCTGTCCTCTCAACAGACCGTGCAACGTCCTCTTCCAACACTACCCATCCTATGCTAAACAATATCAATCAGGATTCAGGCCTACCGAGGTCAGGACGTGCTCAGGAGTATCCACAGCGCCACAGCGGGATCACAGCAGTTGAGCGGGTACGACGACCATGCATGCAAGCTGTGGAGAAAGATTACTTACTTGTACAGTGATGGCAGAGACAATGGATCCCCTAGGGGGGAGGGGCTGATGGGGCCGAAGCTTGGTTTTTGGTTTGGGGCGATCGCTAGATGGGAGATGGGGCGTGGGAACAAAAGGGGACGAGGGGCGAGCATCGAAAATAGGAAATCGGGAGAAAAGAGACAACAAGGAGATTGAGTTTGCCTGGAGTCGCACTTTTGGCCCGTCTCCACCGCAGCCGCCAGACATGTACTACTTACTAACTGCAACTGCTGCTAGCAGTTGTAGTGCTACAACTTGATGTCTCGGAAACCAGCTGATAAAAGGCAAAAGGATTATCTCATAGCAGAACTGGGTTAGGACGACACGGATCAGACAAGACACTAGTGAAGCATCTCGGTACATGGACTCTTGCTATGGTTGACTCGCCCGGGGTGTGCTCCGATGATGGGAAAAAGAAAGCAGATCGGAATAGAATACACATCATACACTGTCTGTGTATTCGTGTATCATGTATGCGGACGCCTTCGGCCATCTAAGTGCGTCGAGAGGCAGCAGCTGTGTTGGCGAGTCTTTACTTACATGTACTGGGGCCCTGCGGTAGAACAGAGATTATAGGTACAAGGCCCTGCTGTCAGAACTGTGTCATTGAGCTTTTAATTGCTTCCAGGTTTGGAGTCTCCACTACTGCTAGCAGACGACGCCGGTCCTGGTCTGTGTGTGCCCGTATTACTGCTCGCCCACAAACGACAAGCACACACCACAGTACCAATATCCGACACTCAAACTTGGCGCAGCTCGTGGCCTTTGACGGCGCCTAGCTCGGCTTCCGCACAATGTACGTCGTCGTACATACAGGCACGGGTAGAATAGAGG